TTATAATTTTTAAATCACATATCACAAAAAAACGAGTCTAATTATATTATTTCTAATTATATTATTAATTATATTATTATATTATATTATTAAGAACTATATGTCAGTAATGTAGAATATATGACTTATTTATATATATATAGTTTTCTTGTGTTCCATCCCATATAAGTACTTTATTTTATTTAAAAAGTTCGCAATCAGTTAATAAGCGGTTAAAGAGTACAATTACTGCATATTGTTAGTTTCAACAATGTTTCTAATAGATCGTTTAATTATTTAAGAAAATTGGTATTTGTGGAATCAAAATAAAGTAGTGCTGCAAAATTCGGGTCGATCATATTAATTTCTAAATTACATATATGTTTCCCTTGAAGAATTTTCAGAGATAGTTATAATGAAAAGAATTTTTTGTATGAAAAGCGCATCTTGCATCCATGTCAAATCATCAAATAATATTAACCATCAAATAATATTAACGTAGTAACATCATATAAAATATAATAGAAGCCAATATAGTTAGTATAGATGAACGTACCTTTGCACGACACGAGCTTTGCTGTTTGAAACCGTTACCTAACTAGAACTCTGCCTGTGATGTGATTTTGATAATTTCAACACACAAGTCACAGCCAGAGCTCCATCAGGGTACGGCCATCATCCATTGGTAAAAAGGCAGTGAAATATTCAAAAGAAAGATAATGTGCTACTAAGATATTATATGGAAATACTCAACCTCTACCTTTCTTTTGAATAATATTTGTGTCTACAACTGATTATTAAATTGTAATACATGCAACACGTTCTTTTCAAATGAGGATATAATATAACAATTTTGCAAGACAATTATTTCATACACATAATATCTATTTTGCAAAAACTTTCGCTACGAAAAGAACGCTTAAGTCGGAATTTGTTTTAGTAATACAGAGACAAAAAAAGATTAAAAATATTTTATTTAAAAAAAGATACAACTGTGTATGTACAAGGCATAAAGCATTAAACTAAATGAAGCGTTAGAAACTTTGCAGAAGTAAAATACAAGTAAGAATTAAATGAAAAAGAAACGTATAAATACGCAATAATATACAGCAATGTATATTTATTAAAATATCAACAGAAATATTGAATTATAAATATGAAAAGCGAGAAATAAAGACCTTTTTTTTTTATTATATTGTACTATATTGAAATAAAGTATTGGAAACTTCTTTCTCTGTTATTCTGCATTAATAAATGCATGTGTAATTTATATCTCAAATTTCTTGTGAAAACAATATATATAGATAAAAAGCTATTTATTAATCAAGAAATCGAGAAATCTTTAATATTCTATCAATCTGTCAAAAATGCAAAGAATAATATATTAAAAAAGTAATTTATTTTAACGTATAGTGCAAAGAGAATTTCTCGCTCAATTTATAACACCATAATTCAATATAATTGCGTAAAAAAATAAAATATCAGTTATGAAGTCTATGTGCGTCTCGCATAAATATTGATATTTCTGTCGAATTGATATTTAATATTAGAAACATGAATATATTTGAAATAAAAAGGAATAAAATATTACACATTTACAAAATAACACATTAGATTTTGCGACAAAATATATTGATATATTCAATAACAGAATTATATGAAAAATTGTTTTAATTTTTTATTTTTATAATTTCATTTTTATTTGTTTTATTACATATTTAAATTTCTTATAACATATTTAAACTGATATAACATATTTAAATATGCATTTCAATTTATAATTTAATAATATTATCAATAATGTTACACGATTTATATGATAATATTCCGGATTTTTAAAATATAAATGAAATATATAGAAAAAACTTAATTTATAAAATTAAGTATGAGACAAATAATTTCCTCGTGTGAATAAAATAAATAATAAATATAAATTGTTCTACAAGATTACAGGCAAAGATAAACAAAGAATATTAATTGATTTACTGAAAACAGCTCAAAAAATAAATATTTTTCCCTATTTATTTTCCTTCACAATTTCAGAATTTTTATTATTTATAAATCGGCAATTAATATAAAATATGAAAGAAGCTTTTTCAAGAAAGAAAGAAAGCAAACTAAACAAGCATTATTTCCCTCTAATCTTACCTGAGCTGATTTGGTCCTCTGTTTGGAGTTGGAATTTGCCACCGCCCATTGGTCCATAATCATCGGATTCGCATAAGAACGCGTCCTTCATGCTTGTTATACTGGTAACTGTAGTTACAGGGGTACACAGACGAGTATTTATGAAACTCTCATCGGAAGGTACTGGCTCGATTCGCATGTCGCTTTCTCGATTAGCCAACAATTCAGGAGGCAAACAAGGTATATCGGATTCTTTTGATTGAGGCACAGATTGCGTTGTCGCATACCCAGGATAGGATGTTTTGACTGTGGAATCTTCAGGACACAGAAACACATCTATCTCGCCGTGTTCCGATCTCATGTGCATTTGAAGCTAAAAACATTAATACAAGTGGAATATAAAACACATTAGTAAATATATATATACATTTTTATCAAATATAAAATATTTTTCTCTAGACGTTGGAGAGCAATTGAAATGCAAATGATACATATAAATAATAATATCAAACTTTACGGATATTTTACCTTTTGTTGACCAAAGTTATTGATCGGTTGTGGGACATGGAGGGTAGCTTCCGGCGGGGCTTTCACAGCCATAATAACTTGGTCTTTGTACATTGAGACTGAACGTAAATCATGATACGTCACATAAGCGTATTGTCTATCCGCGCAGAGCTCGCGAAGATTCTTATCAGCACCGTGAATCAATCGATCCAGAGTGTTCTCCTTAGCTTCCAAATCTGCGACCTCCCATCTGAGATTAGCGATATCGTTCCGATTGTTCGGTAACTGACCGCCTCTGTAACAAGCAATTAATTTTGAGTATAACCATATAATATTTATGTACATATAGATGATAAAGTGTAAGAGAGAGATGTACATATATCTTAGCAGATAACTTACTTCCATTGAATATTGTTTTTACTTTTCTTCTCTAAAATACCAATGCCCTCTAAAACATTAGTAATATCGTATATACGACGTTTTTGTACCTCCAACTTTTCTGACGCTACGTTTAAGTCCACCACACCATCCTGACTGCTTTCAACTAAGTGAATAAACTTTTTTGTGAGCAAACTCAAAGATGTGTCATACCGTGTCCTTTCTACAGTTTTACCTGCAATCAAACAAATGATTTCTTTCTTGAATGACATGGAAAAAAATAAGAGAAAGATCATAAAGTAGAAGAGATATTTACTTTTGGTGGGTGTATGACCAGCTAAAGAATTCGAGCCGGATCTTCTACGTTTACCTCTGGGTGTTTTGAAGGCAGACTGGCTGGGACCAGTTGTCCCTACCTCTAAATTCAGTCTTCTTTTTACCGCTTGAACTGATATCTGCCAAAAAGAAAAGGAAATTGTAACTTGATTAGACAAGTGTCAATTAAATATCTTTGCGTAAATCAACATAGATATTTTGATATGTCAAATTACTATAAAAAATCTGAGATACTATAGAAATTTTACCTCAGTATCAATTTATCATCATCACTCATCAATCATTTTACCTCAGCTCTTGGTGGTGGTTGTGTGGGTTTTCTCGTTATTTGGTAACAAGGTGTTTGTCCATATTGGTGATCCTGTAAATGAGGGCTTGGTGTTTCTTCTGCCACTTTTGGAGGTTGAATTTCATCCAACGAACCATCATCCAGAAACTCAGACTTTACTGTAGAAAGATGTTATTCGAGTAAGCTTAACAGTGATAAAATAATGTAAGATTTGTAATATTTTTCCTGCAAGTGACTTACGCAACTTTGTTTCTACCATGTCTGGAGTAACTGGCCTGGCTGGATCCTCCAGGATCACTTGTCTCCTTACCCGAGGCATCCTGGTAATGTGATTGTGTCTGAAATAATTATATATACATAAAACTATACAACTGTCAAATTATACAAAGCCACACGCTAATTATTTCCTAACAAATAATCATGCTGTCTGAAACGCCATAATATCAATCTTCCAAACATCTATAAGACTAAAAAATAAAATTCAAGAGATACATATAACAAGCAGGAAACAATATACCGATGTGATATACTCTTAACGACGCGAGATGCAACAAATTGACGCGATCGGGCATTTTGACGAGATCACAATAAGTTAATCCCGGTTTTTTGCCCCAAGTTTTCTGCCGCACGACTCGCGCGTCGCGCGATCGAAGCAATGAAACTCACGAATCCGCGGTCGTGTCGTTATGCCGGTACGTGAATACGACCGGCCATTCGACACACTAGGAAAGGATCGAGGAAATGACGGCGGCGCACGGACCTATTTCTAAGCATGCTCTGCATTTTCGGCCGTTAACCGCTGCTGCTCGCTGCGCGCGCGTGTGACTCGGCGCGTTACACGTGCGATTGCGGCGGTGAGTGTCATTTTTAAATCCCAAGGTTTTTCAGTTTTCGCATGAGAAGAGGGGACAAAAAAAAGACGCGCCGCGTCAACGATGGATGGATGACCTGTCCGCACACCGGGCGACCAAAAGTCGTGCGTTGTATACATACACGCACGCGCGCGCGCGCGTATACACCACAATAACGGAAATAATAAGGGCGACGCGAGCACCGCAATCAGGCAATGCTACGTGTGCGTTATTAG